TAGCACAAAAGATTGACATTGTTTTAGTAGTCCGTTCTGATTTAAGTGAACAATCTTCTAAATTTTTTCTCTATTCTATGATTAATATTTTTTTATGTGGTACAGTAGTTTTATTATATAAAATAAAAAATTTTACATAAATTTTATATTAAATAAAAATCTATATGTGTCTGTTGCTACTATAAAGCGTTACTAAATTGAAGTACTTACAAGCACCGAATATTCTAACTTTGCAAAAGATATTCGGTGTATTCAAAAGCAAAATTGCTATATAATCAAAACTTACTCAAAAGTTTTGTATACATCAAAAAAAGAAAAAAAAACAGCACTTTCATTGTGATGTTCTGTAAAAACATTAGTGTTATCGTGTTATTTATTGATGGATCTCAGACACTTATGAACCCATGCTAGAAGATTGAAATTGTCATAAAATGCATGACATCTTCTTTATTTTAGGGTTCCGTTCTTTGAGAATTTTGGCCATATTGAGAATCTCTCTCAAAAGAGCGGTTCAAGGTAATTTTTTTAACATCTTAGTTTCCTTAGGATCGCCAGTATAATTTAATTTCCCCTAAGTATGGTATGTGTGTATATTTAGCAAACTACACCATTTTTAATATTTTTAAGTTTTATAATGCTAGTTTAGACAAAATTGAATATCTTTAGGGTGATATTTTTTACGTAACAAAAGCGGAAAATAAAATGTGGTTTGAGTTTTTTCTAAAATTCAGTTTTTAGTGATAAAATAAAGCACAATAATAACAGTTTGATGTACTTTTTTTAACTGTTTTATTTGTTTGAAATATACATATATACTGTATACGAGTATTTAATTAGAAGCATCAATATGAATTTAATATAAAATATGTTGTATTCCTATAAGGTCTTTGCAGACCTCTCAATCTTTGCATACTGAAAGATTAAAATTAGCTTAAGGAAAGTCTAATAATTGTAATATGAACTCGTATCAACAAAACATACTTAAAACGACGGCTTATCAGCTTTATCTAACAGTTTGATATGATAAAATTAAATAAGACTAAGAACAGACTAAAAATATTAAATAATTTTCATAAAATTGTTAAAATTATGGTAATGATGTATTCAAATTTCAATATAAGCAAATTCTTTATAAATGATATCCTACAATTCTATATATGTTTATATATCTGATAGTGTAATCTAATCTAAAATAATAGCAAGAATTGATGTTAGTGCATTAATTAAATGGAATACTCAAATACCTTACAATTCTCATTCACTTCAATTCGATTGTTTATGCAATTCTGCCACACAAAACTGATTTAAACATTTTAATATAGTATGATGTTGTTATTTTTTGGTTCTTTTTTTTTTTGCAACTGCCTCCCAGAGGGCAATTTTAAATATATTTTTTATGATACATTTAAATAGCCATGAATTGAAAAGCAAATTTTAATTCTACAGTTGAATAAAAAAACCAAACAATGAGTTAAATATGATATAACTTCATTTTTATTTCTAATATACAAGAAATTTTCTACTGAATGTAATAATGTTAGGCCAGATCCAAGTTTGGTGCTAAAATAAATTATTCTCGGTGTTAAAATAACTTACAATTCTCATTCATTTAAAATTCGAATTTCAGTATATATAAAACTTTTCCATTATTTGGAATTAATTATTGTGAAGATTTTAATGTATAGAATTCTAATTTTCGAAAACTTTAGATATTTACTTATAACTGTTGGATCACCAAAACAACTTTGTATTTTTTTTTTTAATGCTATATAAAATATATTTTTAATTAAAAGATTCCAATATATTCTAAGACCACTAATGAGTACTTGACAATACTCGAAACAGTGTTGTATGGTCAATAAAATTTTAATAAATTAAATAAACTTTTTATTGTTGTCTTTTCATTTCTATTTAAATATTTCTAATCTTTATATATTTTTTCTTTGAACTTATGGCAATGTTTGATATAGTTATATGACAGTTTTAAATTTTTAATAACACTGTTAGTGAGTCCATTTTAAGAAAATTTAATAGCTTTCTTTACTTTAAATTAAGAACTCTATAAAAAATAATATATAAGAAGAATTAATGCTAAATTCCTTTTGTATGTTGTATAATGAAAAAAAATTTATTTAAAATAAAAAAAAAGTTTGTTAAGTATTTTCGTGAAATATATCAATTTCCGGCACTCAGCATTTTTAATTTGAAGTGCAAAATTTTTTTATACTTTTATTAATTCATAAGCACTAGACTGATATCTTAGCATGGCTTAATTGTGTCTTACAATATCTCAATTATTTTTCATTTTTACTGTTAAGCAATCCAAAGATAGTTTCGTAGGCTTCGCTGATTTTTAATATATTTTATCCTTTCACCTTTTTAACGAGTTGAGAATGATTTGAGAATGAATAAAGTTTTCCATTTGAAAGCGATTAATTATTCAACAACAAATTTCCGTTACTGGCTTATGCAAAATCTAAGCATTGTACTTTTTTTGTTAGGATTTAAGGACTCTCTCGACTAACATCCGTGCATTAAAAAGTGTTTTAATATTTTATAATAAAAGTGCTAATAGCTCTACATTAATAACTTAATGCTTAATAGAAGTTAATTAAGTATAGACATTTTTTTAATGATTTTTAAAGTATTTGATTTATAACAGTTAGTGAAATATGTTTTTAAATAATTAAAATAATTAATTAATTGTTATACGTTATTTTTATTTTATTTTATTTTTTTTCTTTTAATAATTTATTGTTTACATGACCAAAATTTTTTTAGAAATAATTTTAGTTTTTTACGGTCTAATTGGTCAATAGTTAAATAATAAATTTTTTAAAAACTATTTATTTGTTTAAAGATTTAATTTTTACCGATATTTCGACTATAATCTATAGTCATCAGCAAGGTACTATAAAATTTTATTACAATGTAACAATATTTTAGTACATATCACAAAGAAATAATTATAAAATACATTAACATGGAAACATCAATTATATATATGTATAAAGAAAAAATTATACAATACTGTGATAATAGATATAAAAATAACATGTATAGGAAATAACATATATTAACATATATTATTATTATGTGTTATTTATTACTTGGTTTGGGTCGTTATTATAACAAATAAAAATTAAAAATATTTTTTAAATTAAAATTACACTTATAAATTTGTGTTAAATATTTAATTGTATACTAATTTTTATAAAAATTATTTATGAATAATTAAATGAAACAATTATTTGTAAGACCACTGATGATAGCCATTTGGCAATACTCGAAACAGTTGTATGGTCAGACAAAAATTAAAGTAATTAAAATAATATAAAATGAATTTTTGTTGTTGTAGTTTCACTACTGCTCGAAAAAGTAGTGAAACTCAGTACAGTAAGCTTAAATTCAGCTTATCTGATAAGTGTTAGTATGTACATACACAGTTAACTGAATGATTAAGATTAAGTACAACGGCGGAAGATCGTATCAGAGTCTAATATCAGAGATGTGTTAGTATAGATATATATATGAACTAAATGACTAAGATTGAGAACTGCGATGGAATATCGTTTGCGCTTCTCATGTAAGAAATCCGATAAATTTAGCTAATAGTTTCAATATTATCATGTACATATACTATTAATTGTTTGAGTAAGTTTCAGAACTGGCTCTGGACTTCCTGTTCCCACCGCATAAAGAAAATTAAAGATTTACGAATAATTAAATAAAACAAATATTTGTAAGACCACTGATGACAGCCATTTGGCAATACTCGAAACAGTTGTATGGTCAGCCAAAAATTCAAATAATAAAAATAATATAAAATGAATTTTTGTTGTTGTAGTTTTACTATTGCTCGAAAAAACTCTTTATGATATATTAAGTTTTATAAATACTACTACTTCGAGATAGACCATCTTTAGTGTACATTGATAATAATTAGAATAAATATTTAATTTTATTACCATCTTTTTGATATCTGGATTAATTACATATAATAATAAAGTACTTACAATAATCACAATTTTAAGTCAAGCAATCTACTTAACTGAAGTGTAACTCCAAGATATTTGGATAATAAATTCTTTAACAAGTTGCACTTTATACTTTATATTTATATAGTAGAAAATGCAGTAGAGTGGCATTGACTAATAATTCTAAAATTAAAAATAAAAAACTAAAAATGTACTTTATATAATGCAAGGAGTATGGTATGAATCCTTTTGCTAGAAACTTTGTCATTTTGCTTATTAAATATTTAGAATTCACATTTACCAACAAAAATATTTTTGTGCACTTAAGCAAATATTAACTCTTAAGTAAGTAGAGTGAAATTTTTTAATAATAAATATCATATGAAATTTGTTGGCATTTTATAAAATTCCAATAATAGTCAAAAAAAGTCCTTATTTATTTAGAATTTTTTGTTCAGTTCAGTTTGTGCAGTTAAGCAGCAGTCAGTAGTTTTCAATATCTCAGATATTTGCTTAAAGTCGAACTTTTCATGGACGAAATAGGAGTATTCAAACACATATTAACAATCGATTTTTTAACTCGAATATTTGTGCTACTTTTCAATACGAGTATAAATGCTCAATGCTGCGTAAGAAGTTTTTTGCCTCTGCCTCTGCCACTCGAGAACCCATACTCATACCCATACCCTAAGCTACTTAGCCTTGGATGAATATGACAAAAACTTTTAACAAATTATGTTAGTCGTTAACTTTTTCTACGTACTCGTATACAAATGCTACTTCTGGAACCCCATAAGCATTACTCATGCCAGTGGTTGCCACCACCATTCAAAATACATATTAGCAGCATCACAGCAACAACAACAACAACAACAACAAGAGTAAAATTTTGGGTTTATTTGAAAATTTCGTTAACAAAAAAGTTGTGCAATTTGTTCTTTTTTCTTTCATAGTAACTTTTTTTTGGTGTTCTTGTGCTTGTTCTTCTTGTTCTTTAATACGATAAGTTTTGCTGTAGATGTGGCATGGAACAAGAGTGAAGTGAAGTAATGGAAAATAATACAATAACTCATAGAACCATAGATTCCCTTTGATATATTGTGTATATGAGATTGGCCCGATTTTGTTGTGTTGTGTTGTGCTGTGTTTTTGCTGTGTCTAATTTAAGCTATTTTAGTTCAGTCTTTCCTTTGTAAGTGCAACACTATTAGTAATAATAGTAGTGGCAGAAGTAGAGGGAGTAAGAGTAGTAGTAGAAATAGTAGTAGTAGTAGTAGTAGTAGTAGTAAGTAGTTGTTGTTGTTGTTATTATTATTTTGTGTCCTTTAACGTTAAGTGACTTCATAGTTGTAGCTTTATTAAGAACTCATTAATTTCTTGGACGGACATCATTTTTCCTATGTATTCATTTATTTTATTCATTGCGGAAGTTAAAAGTTCTTTATGGCAGTTTTATGAGGTTACAACAAAACAGAGTTACTTAAGCGCTATTTTAATAGGGGAAGGAAT